GGGATTACAAAGTTACTTATGCAGTTAGTGTATCTGAAAAACTGGACAGAAATTAACAAATGTTTTAGTTTTTCCTTGATTTATACACTAATCACTAATTATATTCTAAATTTGAAGCTTCTATGTCTGCTAGAAGTGCCTTAGAGTTTTGATGATCGGTCAGTCAGTGAGTGACAAAATTAAGAAATTTTGACTGGTTACAATTCTTAAAATACTGGTTGAAATTGAATGAAATTTTAAATATACCATTTTTATACAATGATTACTCGGTTACTGAAAATTCAGGCTTCTAGTTTTATTGACCATGAAGTTATAAGGGGTCGAAAATGGCCTGAATTGCTTCGAGAAAAGATGGTACGGCCGTGCCGCTTTTTTGCTCGACTTGGCGGGGCACTGCCGTGCCCCCAGATTATTTAAGACGATGAACGTAATTGTCAATCAATCGTCAATCAAATTACCTGTTATCTATTGAATTCTCAAGAAAAAAAAATTCTTAACATACTAATAAGTTCTCATTCGTAAAATCATTCAGAGTTAAGTATACATACATACCTACTTATAACTGTTATAACTGTACTAAAATTATTATTAATTTTTGATTTAAACTATTGCCTATACCATCTAGACACGCGGTACGTACTTACCAAAAGAATTGTAATAATAATGTAACCACAAATATATAAGTATTTTTTAAGAAAACCTATGAATTTCGTAGCATATATCGCAACCTATCCGCAACCTATATAGGTCGGATATCGAGAGACAACCGGACAACAAGACGGCGCTCGTGCTTAATGAGCGAGGCCGGCTGCCGCACCCCGGTCCCACCCCGTTGCTCCGGCGTCGTACCGCGCGCCGTGTAAAGTTTAGTGTTCCTAATAGAATCAATTAAGTGAAAAATTGTAATAAAATTGTAAAAATTTACCAGTTTCTGATTTATTCCTTTGTATTCACCTAATTACCTACTGCATGCCAAATTTGAACTTTATAGGTCATCTGGAACTGGGTTAGAATATTGATATATAGGTCAGTCAGTGATAAAAATGACGGTTTTTGGACGTTAATGTCTAAATAACCGTTAGAGATGTGTATACAAAATTTGAACTACATATGTATCTCGCAAGTCTCAATATATGAACCAAATTTGACACGTTTATGTGAAATAGTTTTTGAGTTATGAGGAGGTCAAAAGTGGCTCCAAATGGTTCGTGTAATATTACACACGGTGCGGCTCGCCGTTCTGCTTGAACTTGCCTTAACACGCTACCGCGTGTCTAGATATGAATGACTTATGAAAGTAAGGTCTATGAAACAAATTCATTATTATAGAAGGTCTCTATTATGAATAAGCATTATGTTAGTAGAGTTATGGACTGAAGTTCATTATATTAAAGACATATAATGGTAAGGTTTATGAAATAAATCAAATATGTGGAAGGTCTCAAATAAGTAAAAGCATTATATTAACAGTGTGCACAAGAAAGGCTTCAAATCATGCATTTAAAAGTATGTTATATAATTGGCTTAAATAATGTAACTATGATAAATGTGAAAATTTAATAGCTCCATATGAATAACTTTATCTGCAGTGCAACAAACACGCTACTCACTCACACACATACACCCACACACACACACACACACACACACACACACGGAGCAGCACGCACGCACGCAGCACGCACGCACGCACGCACGCACGCACGCACGCACGCACGCACGCACGCACGCACGCACGCACGCACGCACGCACGCACGCACGCACGCACGCACGCACGCACGCACGCACGCACGCACGCACGCACGCACGCACGCACGCACGCACGCACGCACGCACGCACGGACACACACACACACACACACACACACACACACACACATGTATAGAGTGTTAACTGTGTATTAAATATATATCAACATTTTTCTAATGTATTTTCACACAAAGAGTTACTGAATGGGAAGGAACTGACTCCTGAAATACAGGGTATCCTAGTTTGGGAGTCAGGGCTCAATGATGTATGAAATTATAAGTGTCAAATAAAGAAATTATTATTATTTAGGGGTATCTATATAGTTTTCTCATCTGGTTGGGTGCTATAAATATATAATTATAAATGAAAATGAAAAGACAAATATACATAAATATCAATAACATAAAATAAATATAAAAGTACATAAATAAATAAAAGCCCAACCAGATGGAGGCCCTCGGCAGGGGAGACCAAACGGCCGAGGGTTAGGGGGAAAGGGGAAAGAAACCGGCGGACGATGCGGGCGGTATCGAGGAGCACCGCCTTCTGCATTTGAACCTGGAGCGGTCCGCCACGTAGTCCCAGCCGCCTCAGATGACCCGAGAGGCTGACTGGGGGATTAGCCCGTTTGCAGAGACGACTACAGGAATAATTTCGGTCGGCAGACCACCCCACATGTCGGTTACCTCGTGAGCCAGGTCCAGATATTTTGTTTGCTTGTCTGTTTCGGCTTTCACGAGGTTCTCGTCATACGGAATGGTAATGTCGACCAAAAATATCCTTGACTGTGCCCGGTCCATCAGCACAATATCAGGCTTATTCGCAAGAATAGTCCTGTCTGTGATGATGGCCCGGTCCCAATAGAGCCTGGCGCGATCATTTTCGAGCACGGCTTCCGGCAAGTACTTGTAATACGGCAATTTCCGATCCACGAGACCGTATTTCAGAGCGAGCTCCTGGTGTAGAATTCTGGCTACTAGGTTGTGCCTGTGCAAGTACTCAGAGTTAGAAAGCGCCGAACAACCGGAGATAACATGCCTAAGTGACTCACCGGGATGGCGACAAGCTCGACAGATGTCGACGGTGCCATCCTTTAGGATGTATCTCCGATAGTTGTTGGTCTTAATAACCTGATCCTGTATTGCACAGACAAAACCCTCGGTTTCCCCGAAGAGATCACCAAAGCGTAGCCAGTGGAGGGAGGCTACTGTGTCTACGAAAGGCTCATGTAGAGCCTTGTAGAACCTCCCGTGGAGCTCCTTCTCCTTCCATACGGTCTCCCGGTCGGAAATGCTCTGCACTGCCGGGTCTTGCCATTGCTCGTTGGCTAAGGATAGAGGGGTAAGTCCTTTATCACAAGAAATGACGTCCTTATAGAATGGATCATCCGATCTCGCCAGGAAGTAATCACGGAGGCTGCACACTTCGCGATTATGCATGGTGAGCGCGCTCAAGAAGCCACGACCACCATGCTTCCGCGGCAAGTACAGCCTCATTACCGACGATCTCGGATGACGCATCCTATGGGACGTCATTGTAGTGCGGACTTTTCTATCCAGGGCGTTAAGTTCAGTCTGAGTCCACCTGAGTATGCCAAAGGTATACATGAGGACAGGCATGACCCAGCCGTTATATGCGTGTGCCTTATTCACACCGGACAAAAGGCTGTTAAGCACTTTGGTCAAGCGTGCATAAAACACGTCGCAAACTGACTGTTTCATACCAGTCTCATCGATACCGATGTTTTGTGACATACCCAGGTATCGGTATGTTTCAGCCTCGGAAAGGGTCCTTAAGTTGACGGGCATAGATAAGTCTACGCCCTCAGAGTTAGCAACCCTTCCCTTTCAACATGGAGGACCGCACACTTATCCGTCCCCAGCTCCATTCCAATGGAATTGCTAAATTCACAAGTGATGTTTAGCAATTCCATAAGATGGGAGCGACTGGAGGCGAATAACTTGAGGTCATCCATATAGAAAAGGTGGGTCACTTTTGTCCCTCCTTTCCGTAGCTGAAATCCCCTCCCGGAGCCCTCCAGTAAGGTACTGAGAGGGTTCAGAGAGAGGCAGAACCAGATTGGACTCAGACAATCGCCCTGGAAGATACCCCTTCTTATCCTTATGTGGTTCTCCGCAGCCATCATCCGCTCGCCTAGATGACAAAGGATCGTACTCCACTGCCCCATACACTGCTCGAGGAAGTCTCTAACTGTACAGTCTATCTTGTACAGCTCGAGGACTCTCTTTAGCCATGTATGGGGCACCGAGTCGAATGCCTTTCTGTAGTCTATCCAGGCGGCGGAGAAGTTCCGACGGTTGCGTTTCACCACTTTGCCAATGACCGCGTCAATGAGGAGTGGTTCCTTGGTTCCACGACCACCGCCCCGACATCCATTTTGAGCGCGCGACATCACTTGATTTGAGTCCAGGTGACAAGTGATTCTCGCGCTCAAAATGGATGTTAGTGTCTTGTATATGGTCGGTAGACACGTGATGGGGCGGTATTTGCTCGGGTCTGTGGTACCCTGGTCTTTAGGAACTAAATGAGTGATCCCAGTAGTGAAGAGGCTTGGGAGCGACTTCTGGTTGAGAGCCTCTTGAAACTGTCGGGCGAGCACAGAGTGACACACCATGAACCCCTTCAGCCAGTAGTGATGCAGCCCGTCAAGCCCCGGACTTTTCCAGTTCGGGGCCCTACGAACCGCCTCAGCTACGTCATCCGGCGTTATGATGACGGGGTCCATGGGCGTAATACCCGCACACTGACTCGCCACAACTTCCGTCCAAGGGCCCTCGCTGTGGTTTACGGGCTCTGACCACAGGCCGCGCCAGAATGCTACAGTGTCGGCCTGATTCGGTGCTGGACCCGTTCCACTTACCATTGGTCGCTCCAATGATTCATAGAGCCTCTTCTGATCACTCTGGAAGAGACGATTCTGGTTGAACCGTGTCGACCTCTCGGTATATCGCCGAATCCGCTTTCCCCAAGCAGCGATTCTCTGCTTCAGATCATCTATGCGCTCCGTCAGTTTTTGCGTTATATCCGGCTGGGACAAACTGACATTTGTCCCAGCAAACGCCATCCTGACGGTGCGCACAATTCTTGGCCTGTTGTTGCCTGATCTGAAGCATATTAGTCTGCCGATGAGAGCTCTAGCCTTTGCGATACGTTCCTCAATTCTTCTTCTCCATGCTGGGATAGCGCTACTATGGCCAGTAGCGCGTCCAGCCGTGGAAACCTTGGCGCCTATGATACGGCAGACTGCCAGCGCGGCGCCAAAAGAATTGAGTCCGTCTCGCAAAGGTCCCGGCTGGCTTCCAAATAGGTAACCAGCATTGGGTTCAGAGCCCTCACGACAGCCCGATTCCGCTTGCTTAGGGCTATGCGGGGAAGTCGCGGTCGATTTTCGAGAGGCGTACTGCGCGTTTCCACAATCGCCTCTTCCAATATACTCCTCATATGCTCTAATTCCAGTTCCTGGGCGACTGTTCCATCATCGTTTGAATCAACCACAACTGGGGTATTCACGGCGGCATCCACGTTTGCGGGTTGCTCTACCATTTGTGGCGCCGCATCCTCAGCCGTAGCATTCTCATCCGACGAGGGAACAGCCTCACGTCGTAGCCGTTCGAGTTCGGCGACATCAAATATATTTGAGCGCAAGATATACCGAACTCGGTCTGCCAGGTTTTGCTCTGTGACGATTAAAGATGGCTCCAGCTCAGCAAAAAGACGATGCATCCTAGCCCGATACGCCAAACATCCAGTTTCTTCCCCTTTTGCCCTAAAGTACGCCCGCAGTGCGTTTGCATTCATTTCTTGTGACCAACGCATGCGACGTGCTCCACCAGCGGCGGGTGCCGCTTGCTGAGTCCGAGAAGACCCAGCCGACACCAAGCCTTCTGGTGGGGATGATGGATGCGGAGGGCTGGTAGATGACCGTGCAGCTCCTCGCGCTCGGCTGGCGGCCCGCATGCTGCCGCGTCCAGCGCCAGCTCCAGACGCGCCCCAGCGACCCCCCAGGCAGCGGCCCTTTGCGCACTATCTTTTTATCCATCATCCATTATTTGGGCGTCCATTAACGGGAGACGCCCAGGCCCGGCACCGTTTCGTGTGTAGCCATAAGCACAAACGGGCCTCTGCACCCTAAATTCTGCCGCGGCACGGCGCTCACACCTCTCGCAAGGCGCTGACTGACTGCGTTGACGTAGCAGTTTTGTCACTTAACTGTTACGTCAGCGGGCGATGGGGTCGTCAATTCCCTACGCCTTTTTATCTCTATTTATTATTATTATTATTATTATTAATAGAAATGGTACTTGAAAAGGATTATTATAGTGGCGTGTATGCTGCTTCACGAGCAACTAAGACAGACATATAATTTTAGTGTCGGTGGTAAGCGGGTTTATTGCAGTGATACGGCTTTCTCTTTGTCGTCTCTTTGTCTTCTTTCTCGTGGACATCGCATACCATTTGTGGGCAGCATCGTAGCACGTAGCGATGCGTCGTCTATCTTACAGATTAGGGTAAGTGTGCTCGGTAGCACTTTTAAGTGTAACAAGCATACTAAACTTTATGTCTTAGTGTATTAGCGCTATAATACTTGGAGTATTGTCTACTGGCGTCTTAGTAGCGTGCTACTATAATACGTTGGTGTAAATTTTAGTTAACAACAATACAAATTTTACTACCAGAGTCGATAGTATTGATGCTTGTTGCGTTCTGCAGCATTGCGTCTCTGCGATGGTTGTTTGGTGGGACGATATTCTCAATGGCGCTCTCTGCGTCTTGCTTTGACTCACATCCATATAGCTTTGCCCAAGTCGGGTACCCTCCATTACGGAGCTGCAACTGTCTGACCTCCATGATGTTTTATATTGTAACATAGTAATATCTCTCTGTAACTTTCCACCTTTGAATGATTGAAGGCAACTTGTTGGTGGGTGAGACAAACATGATAGAAAATGCGTATACTCAACGCCAGTGACACAAACCCTATCTGATGGCGAAATATTACTCACTCCCTTTCCTACCTCAGCTAGCATCAGAATCCTTGACGTCGACATATCGAATAGTGTGTAGTTTCGTAGCCACTTGGAGCAGAAGGCCAAATTGGCCTATAAAAAGCTTGGCGTGCGCGGCAGAGCGAGACAGTATTTCATGCTGGCACATCGCTTGCAACTTTAGAAAGCGCAAGTTCAGCCTCACATAGAGTACTCTACATACACATAGTATTTGGATATCTCTGGGCCGGGGCACCCCAGTGCCAAATCCTTCCACTCGACCGCATCCAGCGCAGAGCGATTCGAATCGTCGACGACCGAGTTCTTTCTGATCAGCTCGATTCACTGGCACTGCGTAGGAATGTTGCATCCCTTTGCGTTTTTATTGTATCTACCGTGGGGACTATTCTGAGGAATTGTTCGGATTAGTTCAGGCCGCCAAATTTCACGAGTGCACATCGCGTCAAAATTCACGATACCATCCTCACCATCTGTATGCTTAGCCGTCCGCTACTGTACGTTTTACTAGGTGTTTTCTTCCTCGTACGACCTCTCTGTTGATAGTTTACCACTGGCGACTTTTCCAGACCGATACGACTTAGGGACCTTCAAGAATAGAGCTTACTCCTTTCTAAAAGGCCGGCAACTCATCTGCAATTCCCCCGTAGGTTGCGGTTGTTTAACGGTGGCGGTAGTTACTTACCATCAGGTGAGCCGCATGCTCGTTTGTCTCATCTTCTATTTAAAAAATATATAAATGTATTGAGAGGCCACTCTTAATATGTTAATTTTATACAATGTTTGTCGATGGATTTATACAATCTATAACGATGACGAGTAGAACAGTAGAGTACTGAACACGGGCCTCATTTGTCATAGTCTCTAACAAACTAAGAAGTGTACGTTTACAAAACTCAATTTCATTTAGGTAAGTAGAAAACCTTACAGATATTTTTTCAAGAGATACTCTAAAGCCAGATGTTGGTACTTCTTGCCCACAGGTGAGTAATCGTATATCTCCGTTTACATCACTTGAATTTTCATTGTTTACTGTGTCAACATTTTATTAAATTAACATAGCCGGCCAATTTTCATACAGTTCGCTGTCAGAAGCCAATAGGTTTTCTAATTTTGCTATAAAACCCTCGAGACTTACCGAATTGGACATTATTATATTCAGTAATAAAACATTATATGAATTCTTCTTTCATATAACCTTTTGACCGCTACTATTATAATATATCCGACAAGTAAAACAGGTCCCTGGACGCTAACGAAGGTATTAGCCGACAATACCACAGTCAACTAAATAAAAAGATATGAATTTTGTAACACAAAATAAAAATGTACATTTTGCATGAATTTTGTGAAGAAACTGAGATTGAGAGTATCAGATGTCTCAGACATTTGAGTATATATATCACTTTTTTTAAACAAATTTATTCAAACACACATTTTTATACAATCGTTAAACATCAGGCACAAACACAAGCTATTGCTACCAGTTTCTCGACTCCACAGAGTCAGTAATTCGTTCTTTGGACAATGTATACGTTATTATAATAAAGTCCCAGAAATAATAAAAAGTCTCTCTACTACCAAATTTTAATATTGCATGTCTTAAATGCAAAGTGCATAGGTATGTTCTACTACTACTACATGCAATGGTATCTAACAATTATATTGAACATATAAATGACATAAAAAGCTCATTGTCAGGAAGATAAATGTTTTTATTATTATCATTTTTTTAAATTGATTAACCTCTCAACAAGCGGCCAAATTCGACCGCTTCGATATTCCGTCAAAATTCAAGCGGTCAAATATGACCGCACCCACCCACAGCATTTTAACCCATAAAAACTTATTATTAGAGACTACTTTTCCTTGAAGAAATTTGACATTATAGAATCAATATAAAATTTTCTATCCTGTAGTGGAATAAAAAAACAGCTAGTTTATGGATATTAATTTATATTCTACGTTCGTTACGTACGCCATTATCATTTGGATATTGCTGTGTTGATTTTTGGATTTTTCGAGTGTTTTATTAGTGTTTACTATAGTGTTTTATTATAACATTATTATAAAAGTTTTTGTGTGAATACAATTTATCTTTTTACCTAAATAATTTCGAGTAATATATAGAAATAATTGTGATTTTCACGCTGGCGACATCCGCTTGGTAAAATTTTTTTGTTATCTAAATACAATAAAATCTTTTTGTAATTAAGTAAAACCTGACTTTTGTTTAGACCACAGGATAGAAAGCCATGTATAGATTTTATAATGCGAAATTTCTTTAAAGAAAATTAGTCTCTGAATATAAGTTTTAATGGTTTTAAGTGCTATGGGTGGGTGCGGTCGCATATGACCGCTCGGGATTTGCCAGGCGTATGCGACTGCATGGGAATTTTATGGGGATTGAAGGGTCAATTGCTATTTCTACGTTAAAAAAGTGATTTTGGTGGTGTATATGTAGTTTTATCAAGTCCGAATGGAGGGGTAAGAACGATAAACTTTTGAAAATATCATTGTTCAACTTTATCTATATTTTAATCTCTTCGTCAATCGTGTGATGTAAATTACGGTTTTATTTTTTTTTTTTATAATTATTTTTTTTCGACTGAGAAATTTCAAAATTTTCGTTATATGAAGTTGACGCTTTCTCTGTGTTTGTATACTATGTAGTCATGAATTGACGGCCCGAATCACACGAGTATTACACTTCCAGGGGAAAAATAGTATTTATACGGTACGTTTGTATTTCGTCTCGTGTATATGGAGAACAAAGAGTGATGTTGACATAGGACTAGTTTCATTTAACGCATAATTATGTAACTTAGACGTCATTAAATTTTGAGCAAATCGTTTTTTTGTGCCGAATGAAAAATTGTATAAATTTATAAAACATATGGTATTTTTTTATTCTTTCAACTGGGAAGTTATTCATGTGGACCTTTCAGATCGCACCTAGACCGCCTTTTCTCTTTATTTCTTATTTTGATGAAATTCAGCTATGTAAACCAAATTGTGTTCGACTTCAGCTTTGATTATATTCTAGTTTTTTTCATCCTATAAACACCAGAAAAGAACCTTTTAACTTCACAATATGAACCCTCATCATATGTTTTACATGCATAAATACATCCCTGACAGCACTGTCACAGCTAGGCAAGTTTAGACCAAAAGAGATGTTAAAAACTATTATTAACCAGGGTAACTTTTAATAAGTTGTATTTTTTTCCTTTTAACAAGGATTTAGTAACAGACTTATGAAGACTATAAGGTTATTCCTTCTACTGTATTCTGTTTTTTAAGTTTGTGGATTATGGTGCACAAAACTTAGGGTTAACCCATGAATTTTATGCTTTTATATTTTTTCTAATAGTAAATGCATCAACTTTAGTTTAAGTTTGATTAAAAACTTAAAAGCAATTTTCCAACAGGTTTCGGAATTTGATTTCCATTTCATTTCGTCATTAATTTTTCTGTTTTCTTTACATACGAAAACATTACCTTGAGATGTTATTTATTAGGCAAATAAGAAATACATATATCTTACAAGACCAATTTTACAAGCTATGTTTCTTGTTGTGGTTATTACATGCCACCCATATGGTTTATGACCAAAAAACAGTATCACATCCACTATAAACTGAAAGTATTTTCATTTTATAAGGACTCTCTGTAATTGGATTACTTGAAATCTGAATATGATTTTTCAGTCTTTATTTA